TTTTATTTTCTGGAGTACACTTGAGAGTTCTGAAAACCTTTTATGATTGCTGCATAATTGGTTTATTTGATCGTTGTATCCTGGAGGTGATTGTCCACGGAGGTCGCAGCAGTTATCGACGGGCAATTTCGCTTTAGGACATCGTGCTGTCACGAGACTCGATCTATTGATAAGTTTTTTCTGCACTTTACCATTATTTTATCCAACAAAATATAGGTTAATTGAGCTTACATAGTCCGATAATAGAAACAAGTTGACACACAAGGCACACTTGTTACAAGTCAAGCCATGCCATTCCACTCTGAAACTAGACAAATCGGTATATTTGATCTATCTAGATAGTTCAAAAATACAAAATGATTATAAAAATTAAAAAAAATCGCATGAGGAGACTCTCATCTTTCCTTGTTTATGTACAAGTTCGGCAAGCTAAAGCTTGACCAAATGTCAAGAGTTGTACAGTCACCATGTGAAATCAACAATAGCAGTTTCCTATCGCCGTCAAATATTAATTGTTTCTATCTTCTTTCTTAATTTCCACAAAGACAACGACAGTTAACACAACTTGACTGGCACATCAAGACTTCCATCACCGCTCATCACGCGTTTCACATCTTATTATATGCCTCTGTTTTTCATAAAATTAACTCAGTTGAAGTTTTTAAGCACCACCATGTTAGCCTTCAAGATTTCTGGTTATCTTTTCTTGTTTTGCCTGCTCTTTCTCTTAAGCACAAGAAGGGTGATCAGCTCCGTGAATTATCTTGCTGTATTCTGCCCAAATACAACTACATACAGTCCTGATAGCACCTATAGATCCAATTTGAATCAACTTTTTCTTACTCTATCCTCAAATGCTACCCGGGACAACGGATTTTACAGCTATACGGTGGGTCGTGGCCCTCCTGACAGAGTCAATGGCCTCTTCCTATGTAGAGGTGATGTTAATATTGACGTTTGTGAAGAGTGCGTCAGAAACGCTACTACGGAAATCTTACGACGTTGTCCCAAGGAAAAAGATTCAACTATCTGGTACGATGAGTGCATGTTACGTTACTCAAATATATCCATATTCTCCAGGGCTGATCAAAATGGAGGAATCATCTTGAGTAACAACCAGAATATCACAGATCAACCTGATAGATTCAGAACTGTGTTGGCGGCTACCTTGAATGAATCAGCAACAGAAGCAGCAAATGATCTCTCTGGTAAAAAATTTGCAACCAAACAAGCTAATTTCACGGCATTTCAGACATTGTACACTCTGGCGCAGTGCACCCCTGATCTTTCGAGCGGTCAGTGCAATACCTGCCTTCGAGATTGTATCTCGAATTTCCCGTCATGTTGTGATATTAAACAAGGAGCAAGGGTAAATTTCCTCAGCTGTAATATTAGGTATGAGATGTACCCATTTTATAATTTTACTTTGGCACCAGCACCGCCTAATCGAAATACACCTCCTCTTCCGCCCTTACCTCCTTCGCGTTCTACAAGGAATGAAGGTAACCTCCCGACTCTTAAACAGTAGCCTTCTGATTAACTAATAAAACAGCATCCGCAGCCCAGAAAAAAAAATAAAAAGTGAAACCATACAAAATTTTAATTTTCTGGTTCTAACTCAAAGGTACAAAATCTGTACCAATTTTCGTGTTTTGGGTGCAGGAAATGGGGGAATGTCAAGACAAGTTATTATTGCGATAGTTGTTCCAATTGTTGTTTCCTTATTGATTTTCTTCATAGGCTGCTTCTTTTTGACAAGGAGAGCAAAGCAGAAACGTTATGATGCTGTCAACGAGGAAAATGGTAAGATATGACGATCCAATAGGCAAAGTAGAACATAAGAAATCCCCTTCTGATCTAGTTTAAATTTCTGAATATGTGCATTATTTTGATTTTGTGTTGAATCTAACTCATCCAAAAGACTAGAGTTGTTATAGATGGACATATTTATTTATTCAAATACACGTCTCTCGTGTACATGTAAGATTGGATTTTCTTTTTAAAACAAAAAGGTTACCACATAAAACGGTGGTTACGAGACTTAAACTCATGATTTTTGTGTGCTTTGATACACGTTGACCGTTATAACACACGTTCACTCCAAACTAAAAAAGAAATTTTCTATTATGGTTTGCTATTTTCGTGTGTAGACGAAGGAAATGATATTTCGACAGTTGAATCCTTGCAATATGATTTGAATGCTGTTGGGCTTGCTACCAACAACTTTTCTCCTGATAACAAGATTGGTGAAGGTGGATTTGGGAGTGTTTACAAGGTAAAGAAATACAATTCGAAGTATGCTATAATGTATAATTCTAGGTCCCCTTTCATTCGCAGTTTTCAGGAATTTTTTAATACAAGTATGGTTTATTTGGTAAGTTGGAGAAGTATCTGACAGTATTGAAGACAAAAACGAGCTAAATTTTCATTTATTATACCGTCTAATACTATGTCACAAACATGGTTATAGGGTACTTTATCGAACGGACAAGAAATAGCCGTAAAGAGACTTTCTAAAAATTCAGGGCAAGGTGCCAGGGAATTTAAGAACGAAGTTGTTCTTGTTGCCAAGCTTCAACACAGGAATCTAGCAAGACTACTTGGGTTTTGCTTAGAAGGAGAAGAAAAGATACTCATCTACGAATTTGTGCCCAATAAAAGCCTCGATTACTTTCTATTTGGTTAGCGTCAATCTTGATTTATTTACTTTTTAACATCATCATTTTGTTGAAGACATCAAAAAACATATAGAAATATAATTTCTCAATACAAATATGCCTTTTATCTTTTCGTTTCTGAGACTTGACCTTTATAGACTGTGTTAATAGTCAGAGCTATTTAATCTGATTCATTATCTTAATGGATGTAAAGATCCAGAAAAAGGGCAACTGTTGGATTGGTCGAAACGTTACAAGATCATAGGGGGAATAGCTCGTGGATTGGTTTACCTTCATGAAGATTCTCGTCTACGAATTATACATCGTGATCTCAAAGCTAGCAATATATTATTAGATGGAGATATGAATCCAAAAATATCGGATTTTGGCATGGCAAGAATTTTTGGCGTTGATCAATCTCAAGGAAATACAAGTAGGATTGTTGGGACATAGTAAGTTCAGGCCCTATCTCTGTTCTACATATGTTTAATTCATGTGCATCTCGAGTATTAATTTTCCGAATGAAGCAATAAGTGGAATTTTTTAGAATTAAAGACTTTCATATTTTCTTATCTAAGACATATCTATGGATTTTTTGGCCTGTAGTGGTTACATGTCTCCGGAGTATGCAATGCATGGCCAATTTTCTGTCAAATCGGATGTTTTCAGTTTTGGCGTCCTGATTTTGGAAATCATAAGCGGCAAAAAGAATAGTAGCTTCTACCAATCAGATGGTGCCGAGGATCTCTTAAGCTACGTAAGTGCAAACTCCACATTATTCTTGAGGCCATTTTTGTTAACACAATTTACAATTACATTCTAAGGCCCCGTTTGTTTCTGATTAAATCGGATTTTAATTTAAGTCAAAGTCAAACAATCGATATTAATCACATCTTTCATGAGCCCTACAGTTTTTCAACCACACATTTCAAAAACTTTTATCATAATCTACTAAAAATCTAATTTTAATCTCAACCAAACACCCACTAAATATGTGTATTTGCTAGATTGAATAAAATCTAATTATACTGTTCACCCGTTCACATTGGATAGTCCATACATATACTTGGCATATATTCTAAAAGGTTGAACCCCAACTTTGAGAGCCCCCCACCCCTCTGCCCCTAGAACATTGTGGAGGAGGTAAATCGTGAGATGTGTCTCAGCAGGCCGGGTATAAGAACTGTCATACTGGTGCCCACAAAAAGTCAAATTTCATACCTTATAAGAGGTAGGAATCGAACCCTCATACTACAGTTGCCAACTCAATTGAGACCACCTCACTCTGTCATTTGCACCACTGAACTATGCCCCGAGAAGCTACTTGGCATATGTTCTTACCATATGTATGAAGGACTGGAGTTTAAAAGGATCTCGTTTTCGAGATAAGAGAAAAAATCTGTAGAGACAAGTGAAAGAGCCTATGACTGAACGACCATGAATCTTGCATTTTTTTTTGCTTTCCTTTTGTTTATTATTACTATAGTAATTAGGATTACACCTTAAAAACTTGGACTGGCTATTGTTGTGCAGGCTTGGAAGCTTTGGAGAGACAACACACCCTTGGAATTGATAGATCCGACGCTGCAAAACTCGTATGCTAGGAATGAAGCAATTCGATGCATCCAAATTGGCTTACTGTGTGTTCAAGAAGATGTTGATGAACGACCAAATATGGCTTCGATACTTTTGACACTCAACAGTTCTTCGGCCACTCTTGCTGTGCCTGGTCAACCTGCATTTTTTCTCCATAGTAAAACACGTAACGTGCCCAAATTGCATAATTCAGACAAATCCACATCAACCTCGACAGCCTTGTCTATAAATGAAGCATCAATTACTGAATTATATCCAAGATAGATTATTGTCATCAAAAGCACAAGAAATAAATAAGACTGTTGTAAGAATTTTGTTGGTGGACTAGTTAATTATGATTTTTCCCACTTTGTTTATCCTTGTAGGATTACTTCTGATCCCGTGAATAAGAAAATCCCCTGCATATCGTTAAAGACATGTTTGTTATATAGTATTGAATATAATGATAAATTAAATTTTAATTCATGTTTTTCCTTTATTAATATTGTTTATACCGTACTTTAGAGACCACATTATCAAAAAAAACTCATAATTGCTTGTTTCACATATGTCAAAAAGGAAAAGGAAGTGCA